GATCAAGGAAGAAGGTCGGCGACAATCTTTTTAGGGGTACTGTCAACAAGGGATGCAGCTGTCGTCATGCGCGTCACTGGAGCTGCCGGGCCGGTCGTTGCTGGATCAAATCGTCCAAATCGTCCGTGAGGGGCAGACGAAGCGCGCTCCGATGGAGCGCGTTGCCGACATGCTCACTGCCTACTTTGTGCCCATCATCACGCTGATCGCTATCCTGACCTGGGCGACTTGGACGATTCTCGGACTCGCCGGCGTGCTTCCAGAGTCTTACCTCGATGCGACGAGCGGCTGGGTTGCATTCGCCCTCCAGTTCGCCATTGCCGTCTTCGTTGTCGCGTGCCCCTGCGGCCTCGGTCTCGCAGCCCCTACGGCCATCTTTGTTGGAGGGGGTCTAGCGGCGAAGCATGGCATCCTAGCAAAAGGTGGCGGCGAGGCGTTCGAGAAGGCCAGCAAGATTGACCTGGTGGTGTTTGACAAGACTGGCACGTTGACGGTCGGTGGCGAGCCCAAGATTACAGACGCCTTGACGTATCCCGGCGCAACGCAAGAGGCTGCGTGCCAGGAGGATACAGATCTTCTCTTTGCGGCGCTCAAGGCTGTCGAGGAGAACAGCAGTCACCCGATTGCCAAGGCCATCGTATCTTACTGCAAGTCTCGGACGGAGCAGTCAGCCAGTGTTGACAACCTCCAGGAGATTCCTGGTAGAGGCATGAAAGCCATCTGTCGCGGACAGTCGTTCGATGCCTCGTTTGATATTATTGTTGGCAACGAGAGCTTGATGTCGGACAACCACGTGGCCATGTCCGAGTCTACAGCTGCACAGCTCGAGACCTGGAAGAGGGAAGCGAAATCTGTCGCCCTTGTTGCTACGAAGCCGATCTCCAAAAACGTGGCACCCTGGACTCTTGCGGCTGCTCTGTCCATCGCAGATCCGATTCGACCAGAGGCTGTCGGCATTGTCGAGGCCCTGCGAGAACGGGGCACGAGCGTGTGGATGCTTTCTGGCGACAACCTGGTGACAGCTAAAGCCGTTGCATCGCAAGTCGGCATCGACCCCAACAACGTTCTTGCTGAGGTTCTTCCTTCGCAGAAAGCCGAGAAAATCACTTACCTCCAATCGACCATGAAAGCCCGTACTGGCAGCCGTGAGCACACGATGAAACGGGCAACGGTCGCGATGGTTGGTGACGGTATCAACGATTCTCCCGCACTGACGCGCGCCGACGTCGGCATCGCCATCGGTAGCGGCAGTGATGTCGCCATTTCGAGTGCCGATTTTGTGCTCGTGTCGAGCGACCTCCGGGCAGTGGTGACACTCCTCGAGCTGAGCCGCACGGTATTCCGCCGCATTAGGCTCAACTTTGCCTGGGCGATTGTGTACAATGTGCTCGCGCTGCCTGTGGCGGCCGGGTGCTTCTACCCGTTTACGACGAGTTCCGGACAGCATATTCGGCTGGACCCTGTATGGGCCGCGTTGGCGATGGCTTTGAGCAGTATCAGTGTGGTGCTGAGCTCGTTGGCATTGAGGATCAGGATTCCGTGGATCGGGTTCCAGGATGGGAAGATTGGAAGCTAAGACGTTACTTCTGGAACATAATTGACGAGCACAAGTAGAATGTGTAACGTGGGCGGGCAAGGGACATTTAGAATAGCGAACTTGAGCAAATCTGACAGCAATGGAATTTAGGTAGAGAGTCAATTTCTATGCCTAATCCAAGCGAGTGGCCACTCTGGTGATTCTTTACAAAATTTGCGTGGTATACATTATGATTTACAACTTATCGTACGGCCAACTGCCTCGGCATTACTTCTTTCGGTACATCTTCTCCAAGTCCTCGAAAGAAATCGTCTCGCCTCCCCAGGCCTCGGGATCTCTGGTCTCGGACCGCTTCTCGGCCGGCACGTCCTCGAGACTATGCGCGTTCTGCTTGACCGCTTGCTTTCTTCCGTTCGGCGCCAGCAGCTCCCCGACGCCGGCCATCTCCATGATGGCTTCACGCACGCCCGCCATGCCGCGATGGCTGTCCATGGGCTCGGATTTCCACTCGGCCTCCCGCCTCTGT